ATTATACAGATTTTTTGCGGTGATCCGAAGAAAATTGATAAAACTCTACAGATGGTGTTGCACATTGGAGGCACAGTCGCTTGCCATGAAAAAAGCATAGCCTTGTCGACGCGCAAACTTCGAAGTGTGAGGTTTATAGTGTCCTGTTAACAAAATAGAAAGCTGAAATTTTCTGATCTCGCTTTTCAGTTCAAGTCGGCCGAAGTCCCACGTATGGGCTTATAAAACACGACTGTTAGGGAATTCGAATTTCACATCCATAAAAGTTAGTGAGCTGAAATCCTGTATGCATGATCAGCCATCAGTGAGGCAGGGCTCTACGTGCTTGTAAAACCAATAGGACTGCATCGTTTCTTCCATGTTCGGTTCACTGACTCCCTCCTCTTTCTACCTTGACTCCTATCCGTATACCTCTTGAAGTGAATATGGGGAGGACCTTCGGAAGGAGGCCGATTATTGGCCTGAGTTGTAATTGACTTCCATCAAGCAAGTAACATCAAGTCAGGGAGACCCGTGTAACTTGCAGTGACAAAATGTATATTTTTGACAACACTTTATTGCGACGTACAAAAATTTTGCAGTTACAAAAATGAGTCGGATTGATTTTGGAGGAAATGCCATCGGAGCGCATTATTATCAGGACCTGAAGCGACATAGGGTTGGATTGAAGCGGAGACAGTAGTTGCGCCTGTGTTTATTCTTCTCCTACCGCACCCGTGTGTGCCGATAGGTTCCGTTTATGATGGCGAGCTGGATAAACTGCTGGCTCTTCAGCTCGTCGTTGTCAGTGCTAAGCATAGGCATGATACGATTCACTCCAACGGCCAGCTTCGTGGCGCAACGTGCTCTCGTGTAATCGCTCGCTGTGATCAGAACGTGGAGCGACTCTCGGAGATGCTCCCATCCAGTTCGATTGCGCAGGCACTCTTCTCGATGTATCCTGAAATAGCAGGTTTAAGAATGTTTTTGGCTTCCTTAATCATTCATTTCACAGGTCTCGTCTGGAATAAATGTTTTGCCTCAAATTAACATTCTAGACCAATTTCGAAAAGCTGCGCTTACTAGCTTAGGCCATCCATACAGTTAACGACCTGGTTGATTCAAGTCTGCTGCAAAAACATAGGGTCGCATCGGCAAGCCTGGTCTGTTCCTGCCTAGGATTTCATAATATTCTTCAAAATTTTGTTCTGTATAGTATTAAGGTTACCCGTAGCAATATTTTGTATACGCTCATGTGTAAATGGTGGCTGATTAAATACTGCAAATCCTGG